CACAAAGAGATTCTGTGTGTATTTACTTCTTCTTCTCTTTTGTTTGTGTTTTTATTTTTCATTAGTTTTCTTGTCTTAATAATGGTGGAGCTTGTACGGGTGCTGTTATTAGCCCTCCCTCTTCTCAGCATGGTTTTAACAGGAAGTCAGGGGAAGTGCTGAAAGGAAGTGGGCTGTGACGCCTCTTGGGCTGCAGCTTCTGGTCTATTGTTTTATATCTGAATATGTGTGGCTGTAGTCAGATACTAAAGTTTTAATAGTACCAGCTGAGTTGCACAGAAAAATACATTTCCTATCTACTTGCAAATGTTTGTGCTGTGGTGTAACAGCTCTTTTAAAATGTGTTTGACTAACTGTTGCCTCTTTAACGTGCCATATTTTTTACTACTGCAGCTACACATAATAAAGCATGAATTTTATTAAATTATTTTCAGACCAATTCACAAAAACATTGATCACTTGTTTACTGAAATTACACAAACTATTGTAAGTGCTATAATAATTTACTTATTACTGTACTATAATCCTCTGAACCAACAGCCACTAGTTTTGATTCAAGTAAATGCAAATTAAACAATTTCCTCTTTCCAGCAATCAAGATTTATTTATAATGTATTTCATGCATGAGTAATACGGATTGCTTCCCAATAACGACAAAAAAAAAAAAAAAAGAACAAACTTGTAAATAACTTAGAAATAAATGTATGGCTTTTCACACAATTATTATCTAGATGATTTTGTCCTCTCTCAGATCCAAAGATAGGACTTTTTTTGAAGCACAAACATTTAATCTGATGTTTAAAATAAGATGTTAATATGCATGCTGCTTTTAAAGTGTAGTGCAAAGATGTAAAACAAAGTGTAATTTGTTGTCAGCATCTCTGAAATAGCCCAATTCTGAATCAGCTGTAGTGAACAAATAAAAAAAAAGGCACATTTATTGTTAGCGAGGGTTAAAGGGCTTTTTAGGCACTGTCTATATTCACGAGCTGTTAGAATTGAGTGGAATTGTTTACATTTTCATTTTTGTCAGAGCTCCCTAAGCTGAAAATAAAAGTATGGTTTGAATTGCCTAAACTAAAAAAAGCCAAAAGCACATTAAGGTGATGATCATTAAAATGTATCAAAATGGAAGCCATCAAAGCATCTTGATCATGATGATAGTATTTATTTATGATTTTTTTTTCTTTAAAAAATTATTTATGAATCTTTCTTCTACTAAAAAGCAAAAACACAAATATGTGCTTTGTGACAGTAACAGCAGCTGGATAAAGACTAAGACTAAATTAAATTTATTACAAAGTTGTAAAACTTAGCAATAAAAGCTATTTCAATAGCTCTTGAAAAAACTTTACAATACAGCTGAAGACACTCATCTTACTCTGTAAGTTTTAACTGTAATTAAAGTGTTAGAAAACAAGGATGTGAAAATAAGTGTAGAGATTAGAAAAAGACATTTTAGCCCTGGAAGCTTTTAGTTTTACTCTGACTGTCATTAAGACATAGTCTTGAATGAGTGTGTTTCGTGTTAATGCTAATATTCTAACAAAATAATTTAAAGATTTTGAACACATTTATCTTTACTTATTCTGAACTGCTTGGTGACTCTGCTATAGCTTAACAATTCGAGGTCACTAAACCTCACTAAACAACTCGACGAGGTGTGAACTGGATGAGAAAAAGGTCTGATGCCAAACAAGGGCAGTCTGCGCTCTCCTGAGTCTAAGTGCTGCAATCATGGAGAAATCCTCATGGGTTGTGTGTCTGCAAATACGGAGCCAGCATGGTTTGTGAGCTGTCAACAACACCATAAATTTTAGTGGCAGAAACAACCTCTGTCACAATCCTCACACCCAGTGCAGCTGAACGGTTTCACTCTGACGTTGCGCTTATTTGAAAAAGTTTTATGTGAATGAAAGACTGAACTTTGTGGAAGTTTTTTTTAAATGTTTTTAGCACCCTAAACAGTATGAGATACAAGATAAAATAACAAAAATAAATGGAAACCACAAACTTATTGAAACTCAAAATTGTAACTCTAATAACATTTCTGCTTCCAGAAATGCAAAACCTGTTGAGGATGAGAGTCCACTGAGTGAAGAGGCGGATGAGATAGGAAATGTGATGGAAGAGGAGGAAACACCAATAAGGAGTGAAGATGGGGAGTCTCCTGACATGTTTGTGGGCGACGAAGGTTCTGGTGAATCTGAAGGGTCTGTACCCTGGATCACAGCAGCTGAGAGTGAGGCGGGCTCTGGCGACTACTGGACAGACAATCTCCAACAAGAAGGTATTAATGGTGGTAAAAGCCCAGCATGATATAAATAATCTATAAATAGTAATTATATATGTTTTTTTTCTGTTTCATTTTGATTGAGATCTGCTTGTCCTCATCTGTTTTCAGGTGAAAGCTTTTACTCCAGCTTTCCTGATGGTGAGACAAAACCCTCAGAGGAGGACCTGAAAGAAGACCACCTGTTGACTCCATAATTGCATAAACAAGCACTTCTTCCATTTTCCCGTAATTAAACAGCAAAATTATTCTTACACCACCACCTGCTGGAAAGAACTGGGTCACACAGACACCAAATATATCACTTGGACTGTCTTTTCAATTGTCATTTCTATTAAAAAGAAATTATATTCCTCAGGTGCAAAAGAACAATTACAAAGACTGTGAAACAAAAAATAACTTAGCAGGCGATATGCGTAAATTTGACTGAATGTAAGCTGCCTTTGGTCAGTATTATTTGTAATAAAAGAACCTTTTAATATGCTTTGTAATATAAATGAAAAAAAATGCTTCTAAGTCATGATAGTATCGGTGCATTAACATGATGTGTTTTTCTATGCATTGCTAGCTTTCGGTGGTTGCAAACATTTTTCATGACTTTTATAGCTGCACCAAAATGTATTTATACTAACAGATCCCCTTTGTATTAAACACTGAGACATCACATCTAACCAGGAGGGAAATTTAAGTGGGTTCACAATGTGATAATTAAAATGAGTTTTAAAAGATGTACAATAAATATATATTTCAACCATATACTGTATATTATTTGAATTTACTCCACATTGCTTTAATGTGCATTCAAAATGTTTCTATTAAAAGTAGATTAAATAAAAAACAATTTTAAACAAATGTGCTTTCAGTATTGTATCTGTCAAAATAAGTTTGTTTCTCTAAATACTTATTGCCCATTAAAAAATTTAAGTGGGTAACCAAATTTTTGGACACAATGTCCATCATCCATCCATCCATCCATCCATCCATCCATCCATCCATCCATCCATCCATCCATCCATCCATTTTCTTCCGCCTATCCGGAGTCAGGTCGCGGGGGCAGCAGCTTCAGAAGGGAGGCCCAGACCTCCCTCTCCCCAGCCACTTCTTCCAGCTCCTCCGGGGGAACTCCAAGGCGTTCCCGGGCCAGCCGAGAGACATAGTCCCTCCAGCGTGTCCTGGGTCTTCCTCGGGGCCTCCTCCCGGTGGGACGTGCCCGGAACACCTCACCAGGAAGGCATCCAGGAGGCATCCTTACCAGATGCCCGAGCCACCTCAACTGGCTCCTCTCGACGTGGAGGAGCAGCGGCTCTACTCTGAGTCCCTCCCGGATGACCGAGCTTCTCACCCTATCTCTAAGGGAGAGCCCAGCCACCCTGCGGAGGAAACCCATTTCGGCCGCTTGTATCCGGGACCTCGTTCTTTCGGTCATGACCCAAAGCTCATGACCATAGATGAGGGTAGGAAYGTAGATCGACCGGTAAATCGAGAGCTTCGCTTTCTGACTCAGCTCTCTCTTCACCACGACGGACCGATACAGTGCCCGCTTTACAGCAGACGCTGCGCCAATCCGCCTGTCGATCTCCCGCTCCGTTCTTCCCCCATTCGTGAACAAGATCCCCAGATACTTAAACTCCTCCACTTGAGACAGGACGACCCCCCTGACCCGGAGAAGTCACTCTACCCTTTTCCGGCTCAAGACCATGGCCTCGGATTTGGAGGCACTGAGCCTCATCCCATCATTAACTGATAAATAATTTGGTTTTCAGAAAACATTTTTTGCATGAGGGCAAAAAGAGTGTTTTTCCAGGGTTATCAAACTCCTTTTACCAAGAACCACAAGAGCATGATGGTTGCACTCAAACGGCCAGTTGTAAATAACTTATTTTGTCTCATGTTTGACTTTGACTAAATATGAAACGTCACATTCCTTGTCTCATTGCAACGGCTGAAGACTGCTAATAAATGGTAACTGAGCTCGTTGTGGTATTTCCTGCATAAACAGTGTTTTAGCATTCCCTTTTAAACACTGAAAAAGTACTACATGTATAAATGACTAAATGTGAAATAAATCATACTGAAAAACTCTTAAATGAAAGAATTTTACTCATTGTTGAGATGTGGTGAGTAGCCACAATACTGAATTTTGAACTGAAGTTGCCGTTGCAACCACTGACAGGGTGGTCTACTGGAGTGGCAGTCCAGTTTAAACTTACCACTACCTAGTACAACTGGGTCACAGCAAAGGTGGAGCTGGAGAAAATGCATCTAAATTGAGATTTTGCTCCACAAAATTTGTTGGCTTATTGACACTTTGGAACTCTGTGCACCTCCACCTATGTGGGATGCTGTAATTTTGCAGGTAAAATAACTGACACACATTTTTGGAGATGTAGTTTATGGTCAATGCTGGCTTAAAAGCAGCATACGTTAATTTTAAGACATCAAACCATCTTTGTTGCTCTTGTGGGCCACAGTAAATGCCGTGGAGGTATTTGGCCCACCGGCCTTATGTTTGTTACAGCTACAGAGCCTGTCAACAAAATTCACTAGAATCATTTCTGATTAAAAATCATTTGCTGAAAACTAATTATGAGTCTTCGTTTTGATGAGACAAGCATCTTACCAACATCACCTGTACAGCAAGTTGCAAAAATCAACTTTCTCTCCACTTGCAGCTGTTCGGTGTTTTGGAGCAGTTTGTCCCCGCCCCCAATCACGTGACCCTAGTCACATGACGGTAAGTCTGATACTACGCCCCCGGTTCAACCAACGGAGCGAGGCTAGCTGTTAGCTTCAACTGTCAAGACACCGACATGGTGAGTGTAATAACAAACGTAGGCTTAACAACAGCATCAGAATGAATCCCGTGTTTATGCTTTAGTTAAAAATTATGTTGACTCTATCAGGGTCACACGTGCACTCTTGAAGATGTTTAACATCAGGAGATGTAAGCTATCAGGGCTGGGCTAGTTAGCATCAGTACGAAGGCATTTTTCCTCACATGCCTTGGTAACGAGCCGTAAGCTTTAGTAAATGGTATTAGTATTAGCCATACATTGTTGCCAATCATTTAGATTATCTTGTTGATGTATATATTGTGCATGTATCGGTAACCAGGAACCAATTTAAAAAAATTTTGCTAACGCAGCTAGTAGTTAGCTGACTGTAATGTGAAGTTCTCCTCACATGATCATGCTTCAAACTGACTGACAAATATAGTTCTGCAAACTTCTCTTGTTCATTTAAGGACAGATCTGCTTCTATTGCAGGTTGTTCAATAAATTTATTGCAATTTTTGCGTTTATCACTGATTGATTGATTGATTGATTGATTGATTGATTGATTGATTGATTGATTGATTGATTGATTGGCTTTGTGTGGCTGAGCTGATTGCTTCAGGTTTTCAGCTTTTGTATCATGCTGAAGTATCATGTTGTGCGAATGACTTTGTGCCAGCTCAGAGGCAAATGATGTCGCTGTGTATCTGGTGATGACTGTGGTCATTGTGGCGAAAACAGATGCTGTTGTTCTCCTTAAGTGTGACTAACCAACAGTGAGGGTTTAATATGTTCAAGCTCACACTTGGACTTTTGTCAGAGCACGTTAGTCCATCAGTCTAGCTCATGTACACACTGAGCGATGTTTACTTGGCAGCTAATATTGTGCTTGTCATGATTATTTCAACATTCCACTTGTGTCCAAACAAAAGTTCCCTTTTTACTATCTGGTGTGGCTCAAACCAGAAATAATCTCTCTCCAATTTAGATTATATAGTTTAAATTTCTGTCAGTAATTTGAAAGCTTACATTATATTGTGGCTGCTCAACATGTGTCAACATTACAAACACTGAAAAAAACAGTAAATCATGCTCAACTAGGATTTGGATTTTGTGTTTTTTAGGCTAGCATTCACAAAGTCAACAGTTTCAATTAAACAGCTGTTTATTTGATGATATAGTCAGTTATTATGACATCCACGTGTTCTTTATTTAGGTGTCGGTAATATTCATTTTGTATGCTTTCTGTGTTTTCAGAGTTTCCTGGGAGGTTTGTTTGGGCCTGTGTGTGAGATTGATGTGGTGCTGAATGATGCAGAGAACAGAAAAACGGCCGAGTTGAAGACAGAAGATGGAAAAGTGGAGAAACACTACCTTTTCTACGATGGAGAGTCTGTGTCTGGCAAGGTAAATCTGAATATCTGTTGTTCGTCAAGATGCAGAGTTCCACAATGTTTACTGTGGGGCTTCAGCTTTTATTAGACTGAGCTGTGTGGATTTCTTTATGTTCAAGTCTTATTGTGCCCTCTCTTTAACTCCTGTGGGAAATTAAGATTTATTTGAAGAGTGTGCACGACTTGGCTTTGACTTTCGGGGAAGCTGAAACCATGTGCTTAAGGTCAACAACTTTCATAGCCAATACATTGTTTATTGAGTAATCCTAATTTTCTTTACGTTAGCTAACTTTCTGACTGAGAAATAATAACTGAGTCATCCAAGGTTTTGAAAGATTCCTTTTCTGGGTTAGGTAGAAGTTTGGACTCTGGTTAATAAGTACTTTATTTAAAAAAAACAGAAAAAGAATGAATTTAAACATTTCCTAATAATTTCTTTTTTATGTTCCAAAGACTGGGGAAGATGTAAAACTGTTCATAATGTATTATGTCTCAACAAATGTTTTCTTTCCAGGTGAACTTAAATGTGAAGCAGGGAGGAAAGCGACTGGAGCATCAGGGTATTCGCATAGAGTTTGTTGGACAGATAGGTGAGTCCGTTGGATTTATATACCACTGTGTACTGACACTGCTACCCTGCCTTTTGCAAAAAGGCTCTGTGTAACTACCTGAAAACATACATGTATGCTGTAACAGTGTGTTGTTGGCTTACTCCTGTTCAGTGGTTTAACAGAGCATGTGGTCGTCATGTGCTGTCTAGAGCTAAACCAGAAATATTTGCAGCAGAAGATAAGTAATGTGTCGAGTGAGCTGATAAAACTGTTGCATGAATGTTGTTTGCTGCTTAATTTTTTATTGCACACTGTAAGACACGAACCACTCTGGTAACAGTAATAGATTGTATAGTTCTTCTCAGCACTGTCCAGCTTTATTTTACCCTGCAGACAGTATCATTTTGACTCTGTTTATCATTGCGSTGCGCTTGGAGCTGTGTTGATACGAGACACAAACGTGTGTGTTCATGTGTGTGTTTGAAACCTTACATTGATCATCTGACACTTATTCAAAGAGCTGTACCAGTAAGCAGTTCAGAGGGGCAAATGCTGATTGTAGCACCTTTTTTGAGTTTGTAACATAACAGCTATCTACTGCAGAGCTCAGATACAGCTTGTTGAAAAAAACTAAGATAGTTCCAAAAACCCTTGTTTTGCTAATAAACATAATTTGGTCATTAGTCATGTACACAATGTATTTGCACAAATGTGACCCATCACATCGAGGATTAAGTCTAAAAGTGGTTTAAGGAGAAATAGGCAAATACAGTGTTTTGATTAAAACATTTGTAAAAATTGCATTTTGTTAAAACATAATGAATAAACACCTTATCAATGTATCATTTGAATGAACTGTCTGAAATATAATCATGAAACAAAATTTTGAAGCATGTTTTTGAGCAGTAGCAACAAAAAAACTGATCTTGAGGGAAAATGCTTTAAATTTTTGAGATTTTCCCTGTGAGCTAGCAAAGTTTTGTTTCATTTCAACTGGGAAATCTCAATATTCAAATATAATTTGAGGTTTCCTCCTTATAAGRACATCAAAAATTCCTCATTAAAATTAAATAAAATTAGGATTCAGACCAAATATTTATGTATTATTGTAACCAACAAGACAAATAAAGTCATATATAGATTTACTTACGATATCAGGATGATCCAGGTATCAGAATATAGCATTTAAAGCCAGGAATCTGAAAATGTAATTACCGGTAGGTAATTTTGACCAAATTTGACATAATCCTCATTTTGATATGATGGGTCACAAATGATATAACTCTGGTGTAAGATATTTAATTTGGTCTGGTTAGAACTTTAGCTGAGCAAACATCCAAAACAGTATCAGGATCGGATGTGATTAGAAAAGAAAAGAAAAGTATCATGCTGTATCATATTATCTGATGTGAAACTGCCATTGCTTATGTTTGTTTCTTAGAGCTGTTCTCAGATAAAAGCAATACCCATGAGTTTGTGGACTTGGTGAAAGAACTGGCTTTACCTGGAGAACTCACCCAGAACAGAAGCTACGACTTTGAGTTCATGCAGGTGGAGAAGCCCTACGAGTCCTACACCGGAGCTAATGTCAGGCTAAGGTAAACTAACGTTAAACTTCAGATTCTTTACAAAAGTATTTTAAAATCGTGCTCCCAAATTGATTTGAGATGTTTTGAAGTAAATACAAATCAGCATTTTTATGGTTTCTGTGTTCAACTTTATGGTAGGCGATTGTTTATCTCACCCAGCATTGTTACTGCACTGAAGGGGAAAGATAAGACATTTTTTAAGGGTCAAAGCATGTACTGATATGAGTATTACTTGTATCTTTAGTTGTAAAAGAAGAATTGATATGTGTGCATTTTTCCTTGAGGCATGCAGAATGCATGGGCGAGAGACTCAGTTGAGTTACCTTGTTGACTAAATTGTGTTTTTGCTTTTATTTGTCATGTCATGTTTTCTTAAGACGTTGGACTCAAGTGATATTGTGTTGTGTGTTCTCAGATATTTTCTCAGGGTGACGATAGTTCGTCGTTTGTCTGACTTAGTGAAGGAATATGAGTTGATTGTTCACCAGTTAGCCACCTACCCAGATGTCAACAACTCCATCAAGATGGAGGTTGGCATAGAAGACTGTCTTCACATCGAGTTTGAATATAATAAGTCCAAGTAAGATCATTACCTCTTCAACTTAAATTACTTTTGTTTTTGCTGCCATTTACTGCTGTTTTGAGTTTTTATTTATTTGTTTTTATTCTTCTGACAGATACCACCTGAAGGATGTGATCGTTGGCAAGATTTACTTTTTGTTGGTGAGGATCAAGATCCAACACATGGAGCTCCAGCTCATCAAGAAGGAAATAACTGGCATTGGTAAGAATTTACAGAAGCTGATTAAAAATAAATCAAACTGAAATTAATGCATGCAGCTTAAATGTATTAAAGCTTGTGCAATTTTTTTTTTTTTTTTTTTGTCGTATGAAGAGTTTATTGCTGTAGTTTGCGTTTTTTGTAAATGTAAATGATCCCAATAAAATAATAAATTTGTCAGATTTACTATAATTCCTCATTTTCACTCGGTTAGTTTTTCTCCTTCCTTTTAGGTCCCAGCACAACCACAGAGACAGAGACGGTTGCAAAATACGAGATCATGGATGGCGCTCCAGTAAAAGGAGAATCGATTCCGATCAGACTCTTTCTGGCAGGTAAATACTTAGGTCTTATCACCAGTGTCTTGTCTGTCTGTCTTGTCTGTCTGTCTGTCTGTCTGTTTATTTATGGAGGCATGTATGGATGGATGGTAAGCTTTAAATAGACTCAAATACAATGTGAAAGTGGCAGTTCATCACAAGCTCTGCATCTTACAGGATACGACCTGACACCCACCATGAGGGATGTCAACAAGAAGTTCTCAGTGCGTTACTTCCTCAATCTGGTGCTGGTGGATGAGGAGGACCGAAGATACTTTAAACAGCAAGTAGGAGCGCTGGAAAAACATAGCAAATGTATTTAATGTAACTGGAATAGTACTTCCGATGTTTTCTAGTACTCGCAGTATTGAGCAGGTTTATTTGAGGACCAAAAGTTTATGAAATCCATTTTTTGATAAACTTAAATATTCCTTTTTTGAATGTATTTTATGTAAATGTTACATGGGTATTTTTTAAACCATTATAAAAATGATTAGATTATTTAGCTGGTTCAAATTGCTGTAAGCATACTCCAGTTTATTAGTTTCATGCCGTAAAGTTTGTCTTTAAACTGTTCTAAACAATGAAAGGCAGTTTTTAACTTTAGGGCAGGAGTGCCCAAACTGTTTCCCCAAGAGGACCAAATTAAATAGCTTGATGAGCTGATTTTGGCCCACAGGCCCCACTTTGGGCACCTCTGCTTTAGGGTTTTTCTTCAGATTAATTACCATAACTATGAAAAAGATTTGAAATGACAATAAATGCAGAGTTTAGTTTTGTAGTTTTATTTTAAATCATGCTGACTGACATATGTTGTTACTGCAAAATTTAGGACCATCTACATTTACTAAATAAAATAAGTGAGTTTAATGTCTTTAATTTCTGAATTAAGTCATTTAGCTCTACCACAACAGCCATGTATTTATGGCAGTCTTGCAATGATTTCTTTGTATCCTTTAAGAATTTGTATTAACCGACACAAATCCATTCCTTGGTTGCTTACGTTCTTGTGATTTTATGAATGAAATAATTTTGTTTCGTGTATGTGTTCTGTCTTTTAATTTTGTGTTCAGGAGATTGTGTTGTGGAGAAAAGCTCCAGAGAAGCTGCGGAAAAGAAACTTCCACCAGCGCTACGAGTCTCCTGAGCCCCGGAACCAACCAGCCAACGCGGAGCAGCCAGAGATGTGATGTGGCCACAATATGAACTGAAAACCTACTCAGACACGTCATCACAGCTCGTCACTGCAGAGCAGCCAGAGGTGTGAGGGCTGCCCCACTCTTTCCATGGACTGAGAAATGTCTCTAAACACGAATGCACATAACTTTCTCAACATCTTCAAACCACCTGCCCCCGTACCCCACCACCACTTTACAGCTTCAAATGCGAGCTGCCACCGTCACTCTCTCCCTCTGGACTGAAACACATTTGCATACAGATGCACATGATGAAAGTCTACTGAATGCTAAATGTCAAAGCTAAAGTGCAAAACAATCCAAGTAATCAACTGTGAGACAGCATTTTTGATTCTGGCTCCTTGAACTGAAAACCCACTCAAGCACACATCAGTGAAGCCACACGGTCTCCGTTTGCTGAACGCAAGCTAAACAAGAGCAAAGGTAGAACTAAAAGATGGCTTCCCATTGGTCCTGGACTTTCACCCCCATGGTCACTCCCACATTACCTATTACGAGATGCTGTCTAGAATTTGGATGAACTACTAGTTATCTGAGATGTTTCAAGATGTGATGAATTTGCCTGACTCAAGGATGTGAGAGGCTAAGCTGTGAGGTGAGACACATGCTGTATCTATTCACAGTTTCTGACTGTGAGCTGCCATTCACTGAGCTGGAAACTTTCAAAATTTCACATTTAATCTATTTATTTACTTTAAAGATTCTACAACGGTTCAGACTTCTACTTCCAAACAAAGTTATGCTTTAATTTGGACTTAATAATTATTAATGCTATATTTCATATTTGAAACAAAGACATGTCCACTTTTTGAGTTTCTACTTGCAGCACATAGCATCTTTTATTAAAGAAAGATGATTCAAGATGCATTTCTGCATCATTTGCCAAAATGGCATTAAAGTTATTAACTATAAGTGCAGCTGATTTTCAATTCACTGGGTCAATAGAGGGGCAAGATAAAATAAAATTTGTCCACAACAGTTTTCCTCTTCTGATTTTTGAAATTGGAGTATTTCAGATTTACAGCTACAATGAAGAGAACGACAAAGAAAGCTTTAAGTGGAAAAACAATTATTTATTCTTAAAAAATGACTGAAATGAATTATTAATCATGAAATAATCTGCAGGCTGGTTTTCTTAGACGTTGTGTTTCCCGACACAAACCTAGATTCAATATGACATCTCAATGTCTTGTAAAGATAGATATCGGACATAGATTTCACTGAAGATGTCCGTCAGGTCCGCACAGAAATTTCATCTTAGTTTTGATCTAAATATTTCTGTTTGACTCCGGACACAAAACTTTGTGTTTGACACTTTTCATTTCTGTTTGTTTTTGAATGATCTTCTGCATCTGCAACTGAAAGAGGCCATTTTTTTTAAAGAAGCGTTTCAATCAGTCATGTTTGTAGATTATATTATGAGTTTAAATTACAGTGCTTTAGTTGCTTCGTCACTCTGACCTGAAAATTATGCTATTATTACAATACAGTTATTCTTTAAAATCAGACTGTAAATTTACTGATTTTGTTAGGCTTTTTGTTTCCTTATTGTTTAGAGTGTTTTGAGTCTGATATTTTGATATATTCAGAATAATAATGTAATAAATTATATATAGCTTCTGTTGTAAGCTCTGGAAAGAAAGCACTTTCCACATACTGTAAAATCCATCAATGTTCCACTGTGATGCTCAGACCTGTGGTTTTGGTGCTGCTTTAAAAGGACACTGTTACCAGTTCCATGTGATACTTGCCTTCATCTCTGACTTACGAACCATTTGTTCTTCAATGCTTCTCTTTGTATTGAGGAGGCTTGAATGCTGAAACTAAACATCACTCAAGGATAACTTCACCTCAGAGTTTCTGAGTCAGTCATGAATAATAACTGTCTTTTATCACTACATACTTTAATTCAGCTTCATATTTGTTGCTTTTTTCTGTGTTTTATGTCGATGATGGCGCTGTGTTGCGTTGTGTTTCATTATTTAAACACACAAATCCACACTTGAGGTTTTTTTTAATCTTTCACACAAGGTTGGTCTTGTTATCTGGATTTCTTTTGTTTTGAATCCGTGTAATTTATTTCAAAGCACGTTCTGTTTTTTCTTTGCTTTGGGGGAAAACCAAAAACAAAGCATTCTGTCTTCCTAAATACAGTTTGGGTTTACTTTAAAATCTGTCAGAAGTTGTAAAGAAACACTTTAAAGCCAATTTGCTCTGTCTTTGTCTTATCTACTGCATGTTTTTTTTTTCATTCATAGCATTGTGTGTTTGAGGTGTGTGTGATATGTGTGTATACACCAAATCCAAAATATTTAGCTGAAACAAATTATGAATAAAGCAGATTTATACTGAACTTGTTTCATAAAACATCCTTTTGACTATATTTTGTGTTTTACTTATATA